TCACTATTCGCGTATTTCTCAAAATCCGAGTACGGTATACATCAAGTGAATCAAAAGTAAGATGAAATAGTCTATAGAGTCATTTTCCGCATTCAAGGAAAATCATTCTAAAGACTATTTCATCTTATTTTTGATTCATTTGATGTATACCATTCTCGGGTTTCGAGAAATACTCGAATAGTATGCATACCGCGGGCCACAGTACAAGGTTAAAGCCAAAGCCACCCGGGATTTCCATAATTGAAACAACCTAAAATGCAGAAACGAATAAATACATTCATTTTATAAGATCAAACTTGCTTCACTATTCTTTTACTTGACACAATCTAAAATAAACAAATTAGCGAAAATTTATTATTTCTCAAAATCAGACTAACCGAAAACTCGATATATATATATTAAACAAGAATTCCAAAAACGAATAATTCTTTGATTTGCTAAGAGAGAACTTACCTAAAACTGCATATAAGCACCAACCTAGAACAAAAAACAAATAAAATATATTAAATTATGCACGAACAAATTCACCTGAAATTGCATCTTTGCGGCCTTCTATAATTAAACCAAACAAATTTCTATTATTTTATGATATCAAATTTATCTGGAACATTCTATATGAATGAATCAATAACAAACAAAATAATTACTCACTTTCATCACATCAAACTTATCCAAGAATTTAGATCAGAGTTGAAATAAAAAGTCTACCATGTGAATTTTGGACTCGAGATCGACCAATTTTCTAATCCATGAAAGCTCGGAGAGAAAAATTGATAGCGGATTTGGACTCAGGGAACTCGATAAGCTATAGGAAACTTTGATCAGAATTTAGATCAGAGTTGAAATAAAAAGTCTACCAAGTGAATTTTGGACTCGAGATCGACCAATTTTCTAATCCATGAAAGCTCGGAGAGAAAAATTGATGGCGGATTTGGACTCAGGGAACTCGATAAGCTATAGAAAACTTTGATCAGAATTTAGATCAGAGTTGAAATAAAAAGTCTACCTTGTGAATTTTGGACTCCTGATCGACGAATTTTCTCAGCCATGAAAGCTCGGAGAGAAGAACTGATAACGGATTGGGACCAGAGCTAGGACGAGTACAAGTACAGCAAGTTAAAGTATTTTACTTGTACTTGAAAATATTTACTTGTACTTTTACTTGTACTAAAAAAAATGTACTTGTACTTTTACTTGTCGTTAAACAAGTATACTTGCCCATTTACTTGTACTTGTACTTGAGTACGAGAAAAGTACTTCGCTTTTTTTCTTAAAATATGCATGTAAAACTTTCAACTGTGATTTTTACTATCTTGGATAAAAGTTTTATGACCACTCTGACATAATCTGATGAATAATTATATGAAAATAGGAACATTGTAATCGTGTTTTTTTTCATTGAAATATCGACAAACTCACTGTAAGATAGATGAAAAAATTATCTTTTGTAATTGTTGGAGTTTCTTCAAAATAATAAATTTTATTCGTAACTGATAATGCTCCTCTGTGTCATTATCATAGATAAATATAATTCTCGCTGACAGTCAGAAGAATTCATGTGAATTCAGATCGATGTTCTAGAAGCTTGGGCTGATTATCGCTTTGCTGAATTTTCAAATAATCGATATGATACTTTCAATACTGACTGGAAGTATTTTAACATCAAATTATGGCAAATTTCTCTACCATAAATTGGCCCCCTCTCCCGATAAAATGTTTTGTTAAAACAACTAATTTGATCAAACAATATTGAACTTAAAATAAATTCAATTTACTAAGATTTATTTTGATATATGACTCATTATTTAATACTTTGAAGATTAAAATCAGCTAAAAACAAATGTATCGAGTCATCTAGAACTCATTAAATCTATCCAAAGGCAAATGACTTCTAAGTTAAACATATTTTATTGCTGATGCAACAAGTCAGTAGTATAAAAAGTTCTATGAAAAAATCTTAAATTTTGAACAATAAACAAAAGTGATAAATTCGTTTTAATTTTCAATTAGTTCAAGTATGTGTTAATTAAACGGCTAAACTACTTGATAAAATAAATTTCATATTTATCATCTCTTTTGTTGTTTGACAATCAAAACGTGTTCAAGATATATTTGATTTTTTCAAAAGTGGCAGCCACACTAACAATGCATTCTGTATGCTACGAAGCAATACTTTTAGCAAAATGGAATGGTGTCTTCCACGTCGAAATTGAATAGATACGAATGCAATAACGATATAGTAGTTGGATATGATTATTATTAGTATACTAATTGTTCACACATAGTGGTGCACAATATTTTTTCCTACCACGCGCTTCTATTTTTACTATCAAAATGAGATTCAAAGACTAGCTAATTAAACTTTATGAAGAGATAGATATTATCCACTCCCACAAACTAAACGGCAAGCATTCATATATAAGACATGAAACCACACGTCTATGTCTTCAGCAAACGTTATTAATTGTATTTGTACAATGACAGTTTGTATTTGTTTACAATCACTATTGCTTTTCTTTTTCTTTTTCTCTCTCTGATTCGCGATTGGCTAATCGAGCCAATGAATCTGGATCGAATGTACACATGGCTTTTCTTCATTTTTTCAGGTTACAAGGGCATTCATCATCGCTTTCTAACATTTCATAACATATCAGGTCCATCCCTAGATGATGATATCATATATATCTTACACAAATAAATGTATTGACATGCGTTCATCTTTCGTCAGAAATATATTTAATCACATTACATTTTCTTCATCACCTCTCTCTCCCATCTCTATTTAAAGATTTTCTATTCTGTATAAGAAGATGATCATTTGAAATAAAAGACTAGAGTAGTATTTTCTTTCACCTTATTGTGAATTATTTTCACTTCTTCATATGAATTTTCTAAAACAATTTTTTGAATTCACTCGTCCCGGAAACAATAATATTTCTGGTCAATGTAAACTTTGTGGAAAACTCTATGCGGACAAATTGAAGTCAACGGGAAATTTTCATAAACATCTTAAACGTAAACATACCAAACAATATGAAGAGTCAAAATTTTCGGATTCTATTCCACCTAAAACTGACACGAATGATTATTCAGAAAATTTAACAAGTAACGTCATCAAAATCAATCAAGTTATGTTAGAAGAATTAATTGTGAAGTGTAACTTACCACCATGAATTATTGAACACAATGGTTTTAGAAATTTTTTAAAAATGGTAGCTCCGAAGTGGAAACCTGCCTCTGCGCGACACTTTACAAAAACATTATTGCCATCATTGTTGAATGATGTTCAAGATAAAATAAAAAACTTGCTTGATAATGTCGATCATCTATGCATAACGGTCGATGTTTGGACCGACAGAAGAGGAAGATCTTTTGTTGGTGTTACTGGACACTTTCTTGATTTAGAATATGTTCCACAAGCTCTTCTTCTTGATTTTTTACGTTTGAAGGGACCACATACTGGAGAAAATATTCAAAATATCACCATACAAATTCTCGACAATATGAAGGTAAACTACATTTTATATTATTGACTCCAACTGAATTGCAGTTACTCAATTGATTTTTGAATATATTTCAATGTGGAGAAACAACATAGCATTTTTAAAAGCAATTTTTAAAATCAAAATATTATAGAACTGAATTATATTTTGAAAGAAAATAGTGGGTGTAAGTTTAGAGTCAAATTTATGTGATTCTAACTTTCATTCTGATGCATTTTTGTCTTGAGTAATTGAGAAAAACAAGACTTGACTATCTCCCTAGATTCTATTACCAACTAGAAAAAGTGCTGAATCGAACTGAATCCTATTAATAATATTAAATTTAAAAAATGAAATGCTTCAAAGAAAAAAAAAGAGTGTTTAGCAAAAGTGGAAAAAAAAGAATGCCAGTAAAAAAATACTTATTTTCAAAATTCAGACATAAATCACAGAGGTTGTTTCTCTAAAGATCGATTATCTTGGAAAACAACCATAGTCTAAGAGAGATTTTTTACTTTTATGTTTTATTTATTAGTATAAGGATGCTACAGGGCATTTATAAGCTTTAGATTTCGGCCGTAAAGAGGCTGTTCTAACAAGCTATTTTTCAATACAAACGACACTCTAATTGTGACTGATATCATTCTTTTTTTTATAGATAAAAGGAAAAGTGTACCGAATTATAACTGACAATGCCTCTTCGATGATAAAAGCATACAAGTTTGGTTTGAGTGTTACCGATGTTGATTATACAATTCAAGATGACAACAAACAACAACAAGATGATGATTATGATGGTCTGAGTGAATGGTTATTAGTGGACTGGTGTGAAAATAACAACGATTTGTTTGACAAAGGAGATGATCCTGCAAAACGATTATCCTGTTTTGCACACAGTCTTCAATTGACTATTAGAGATGGATTAAAATACACACCTTATTTATCTAAGTCATTATCAAAATGCATCAAGTTAGCTCGACGATCTCACAAATCAACTAAAGTAGCTGATATTTTAGATGATATTGGAAAAACAATAAATAAGTCTAATATGACACGCTGGAGTTCTGAATATCTTCTTATTAAATCTATTATCGGATTAGGGAGAAAATCAATTGACGAAATTACTGATGTTATCGATGATAATGGAGTGAAATTTAGCAACGATGATTTTGTTATACTGCAAGAGGCAGTTCAAATATTAGAACCATTTGCTGAAATAACTTCTCGAATCCAATCCGAATCAGTTGTTACTGCTAGTCTTGTAGTTCCATCGGTGGTACATATTATTGATCATTTGAAGAATATCAAGCCAAATATTTCATTTCTGAAAAAAATGTGTTTACAACTTGAACAGGCCACCAATGAACGATTCTCTGGTATTGTTAAACGTTTATCTCAGCAAATTGTTTATAAAGATGATCCTTTTTCGGATCCAATTTATTTCGTTTGTACTGTATTAGATCCTGAATTTAAATTATTTTGGCTTATTCAAATGAATTATACGCCAATATTAGAATCACAAATGAAACAACATTTAATTCAGATGATATTGAATGAATGTGAAAAGAGCATTGATATATCATTTGATAATTTAGAATCGTCATTATCTTCTTCAACATTGATAACAAATAGTCACACGACACAATCTGTTGATGCCTCCATACTTAAAAAGCGGAAACTCTTTCAATATGATGAGCGTTTTAATTCATCATTTGGTTCAACAATAACTCCCATAAATGAAATCAATGTATATATCAATGATCCAATACGATCGAGATTTTCATTATACTGGGAAAATTCGGATTTATGTGGTTTAAAAGGTATAGTTAAACGTGCATTCTCAGTACAAGCAACATCGGCACCTATTGAACGCGTCTTCAGTCAAGCAGGTATTATTATGTCACCACGACGAACATCTATGAGTGAAGAAGTATTTAAAAGTTTGGTATTCTTACGTGTGAACCAGAACATGATTTAAGAGGGAGTTCTAAAACTCTCTCTTAATTTTAATTCGTTTAAATTTTTCTTTTATTTTATAAATTGTTTTCTACCACATAAGTGTTTTATTACTATGTCTTTGAATCATCTTAATTCTTAATAAACTTCATGTTTCTAAACAGATATTTTATGATAGTTTTGTTTTTAGATATGATTATAAATTTACAAACCGAAATAAATCAGCGCTAGAGATTAGAATGTAATGTAGATGATATTAAGATTCAACTTGAAATTTTCATAAAAGAGTTTCATGGGCATTCCCTTGAAATATAGTGGATAATTAAATATTATTTTTCATTTTAGCACTGTAAGTAGTTGTGGAATTTTCAAAGAAAAAAAAGGATCTTTTAAGTAAAGAGAAAGACATTGTTCCATATTTCAAATAACACTAACGGATCTATGTCACTCTGCCAATTCCCATTTCTGCCAGTTACGTTAAAACAATTGGCAGAAAGACAGTGACATTCTGCCAATTGGCAGAATCGCTTTCTGACGCTCTGCCAACTATAGCA